ACTAACATGGCAGTAGAGAATTTGTATACTTCTCACTGTACTTGAGTAGTCAAGATAAAATCTAAATCTAAAAAGAAATCTAAAATTACCTCCAGAAACTCTTGCCATTGCTGCTCACTGTCTTCCCTAACAGGCTCCCCTTCGAATCAACTCTGGCTAGCTAGTTACCTTTTCTCAACTGTAACTTCATCACATCTGATTTCAAATTCTCCCTCTCAAAACTGCAGGTTGAATTCTACCATATTATGGTCACTGCCTCCTAAGGTTCCTTCACCCTATGATCCCTCATCACGTCTGCCTCATTACACATCACCAAATCCAGAATTGCCTGTTCCTTACTGGGTTCTATCACAAGCTGCTCCAAAAGAAACTATCTTGTAGACATTCCATGAATTCCTTTTCATGAGATCTGGTACCAACTTGATTTGTTCAGTCTACTTGCATATTGAAGTCCTCCACGGTTATTGGAGTCGTGCCTTTCTTTCATATCTTTTCTATCTCCTGAATTTCTTTTCCCCCCACATCCTGATTACGGTGTAGAGGCCTGTACATAACTCCCATTAGGGTCTTTTTTCCTTTGTGGTTCCTCAAGTCTACCCACACAGAATCTACACCTTCTGATTGTATATCACTTCTTGATGTCGATTTAATTTCTGACTTACAAGGTAACCCTTCCCTTTGCCTATCTGCCTGTCCTTTCAATCGGATGCGTATCCTTGGATATTTAGTTCTCAGCCCTGATCCCCTTACAGCCACAATACACACATCATGCCTGTCAATTTCAATCTGTACTACAAGCTCATTTACCTTGTGTCGTACACTGCGTGCATTTAAGTACAACACCCTGAATCCCACGTTGACTGTTCCCCTTCTCAGAGTTGTCCCCTTATATGCTGTGCCTGAAGTTAGATTCCTGATCCTTTCCATTCTCTCTGTTCTAATATTTGTTCTGGAAACTTTAATATCCCGTGCTGAGCCCCCTCCAATTTAAACTTTCTCCATAACTTTCCATGCAACTGAAGCCACCCTCTCACTATTTGGTTTAAAGCCCTATCCATAGCTATAATTATGAGATTCACTGGGACAACACACAATTTGGTGTCGCCTGACTCATTTGACTCCTTCCCCAATACTGGTGCCAATGTCCCATGAACTTGAAATCATTTCTGGCGGCTAAAACCTCAATCTTTGAGCCATGCCTTTATTTCTTTAATCTTGGTGACACTGTGCCAATTTGCTCATGGCTCAGGTCATAATCCAAAGATTATTACCCTTTTCCATTTTCTATTTTGCAGCCGAATTGCAGGGACAGCTGGTTCAATAAAAAACAACTAATACTCTGTTCTCACCAACAACAAAGTTCACAAATCTAGCTCATTGATGATCATTACAGATCATTGCTGAAGGTCTTGTGTCCAAGGAATCCAGTGAGAGGGTTAGTCTTCTTTAGGGTCTCATTGGATGGGGGTCCAGATTCATCTTCAGATGAATCAAGGAATTTGAAGGCAAAGACAGGGGACTGGCTTTCAGTACTCACTCTCTTCCTCCCACGCAGCCTCAGATTTGGTCAAAGGGAGGCCCCTGCCCAAACCCAATAGACAGTCCCCAGAAATGGTTCTTGCCTGCCAGGAAGGCAGGTTATTTTGGGTTGGTGGTGAGTTGAGGCTCTGAACTGGTCTTTAAACTGACCATTTAAGGATCTTAACTGTTGGTGAGTGGAAATGGTCTCTAATGGATGTTCTCAGCCAAGACTTAATTGTGGAAGTGGCGAGAAAGGAACATAGGTGCAGCAGCAGGCCATTCAGCCCCTCAAATTTGTTCCACCATAAAATAAGACCATAGCAGATCTGTGGCCTAACTCCTGCCTTTGGCCCATATCCCTTAATACATTTGTTTAACAAAGATGTATCTCTCTTGGATTTAAAATTGACAACAGATCCAAATCCAGCGCCATTTGTGGAAGAGTTCCAAAAATCCACCACTCTTTATGTGTAGAAATGCTTCCTAACACTACTCAACAGTCTGGCCCTAATTCTCAGACTTTTCCCCCCGGTTCTAGAATCTCCAACCAGTGGAAATAGTTCATCAGGGAGACAATGGCCTAGTGGTATTATCGCTGGACTGTTAATCTGGAAACCCAGATAATGTCTGGGGACCTAGGTTCGACACCCACCACAGCAGATGGTGGAATTTGAATTCTATACAATATCTAGAATTAAGAATCTAATGATGACCATGAATCCATTGTCAATTCTTGGGAAAACCCATCTGGTTCACTAATGTCCTTTAGGGAGGGAAACTGCCATCCTTACCTGGTTTAGCCTACACAGGACTCCAGACCCATAGCAATGTGACTGACTCTGAACTGCCCTCTGGGCAATTATGGATGGGCAATCAATGCTGTCTAGTCAGCGACGCCGTCATCCCAGGAATGAATAAAGGATCTTTATCGACTGTATTTTCCTGTTAATATCTTGAAGACTTTGATCAGATTACTCTTATCCTCCTAAATTCTAGAGAAAACAGGCCTAATTTGTATAATCTCTCCTCATAACTTAACCTCTTAAGTCCAGGTTTCATTCTTGTAAACTTGTACTCCTTTTTTCAGGAAAGGGTTGAGTATCTCCAAATTCATGCCAATTCATGCAATTATTTGCTCTTCTCTCCTTCTTCCTTGCCACTCCCAGAGATCGGAAAATTGCTCCCAAGAAGTCTAGAACCTGCCCATCATCAATAATGACTAGTGAATTTAAAGATTGCATTTCTAATGTACACTTCAATCTGCTTCCTTTACTCCTGGCATTTAACCTGTATTTCCTGAACTTCTAATCTTCTGGTGTTTTTCCAGTTTGATAGTGTCGATGATGGTGGATCTCGTTACTTCAACTCCATTTATGATAAAATAACACATTCCATCAAAAGAAAAATACGTGGCCAGACTATAATTCAACCTTTAAATTACATCTTCCCTGCAAGATGAGACAAGTTTGACTGGTTAACAGAAGATTTTGTATCCATAATAATGTCAATTTCATATTTGATACTTTCTTCAATTAATATCCAACACTAATGACAATAAGTCCCAAAAACAGCAGCACTAATATATCTACACCCAGGCCGTATCAGTAACTAAAAATATATGGAAGCCTCACATGATCAGACTTCAGCTTATGACATTCTGAACTAAGTTAGGGAAGAATTCAAACCTTTTCAGAAACAAGTCGGAGATGAAGCTCTGGGATTGGCCTTATCAGCCACAGAAGGACCCAAAGAACTCATGGCCAGTTACATAGAATGCCCTTGGTGGAGAAACACACTCGTTAGCAAGTGATTGCCAGCACTGCCAAAATGGAACAGCAACAAACACTAATCCATTCTCAACAAATGGTACTGAAAACAACAAATGCTGGAGAGCACGGGGGTCAGACAGCATCCATGGAGACAGAGCAAGCTAACGTTTTGAGTCTAGGTGACTCTTCATCAGAGGTACACTTCCTTTTGAAAACATTGAGAAGTCATGATAATAGGTGTTGCTTTTTACAGTTTTGTGAGCATTCTGTGCCTCTCAATAAGTCATAACAATAGCACAATGGTCAGTGCCTTTCTGTCAATAGTATCTGAATAAAGGCTTTGAGAATCTAATCACAGCTTATTTCAAACTCCTTTAGAAAAATCAAAGACAATTACAGGATGAGAAGACTTCAACACTTCAACTTCTGTAAACATACAGATTACATGCTTGGAATATGCAGATGACTCAATAAACAGTCTGTAAACATGCAATAATCAGAATTTGTCACTTTGGTAAAATTATAAACACAAACCTCGGATTTTAACAAAGATAGTCCTTGTAGTTATAAATCAAAATGGGGATTAAATATTTTTCTCAGAAATAGATTTGAAGTATCTGTGGTAAAATTACTGAAATAAAAGGCCATTAAAATACCCTCAGATAACGACAGGTTAGTGTTATAATTTAATAATGGAATTTCCATTACAGTACTATTTATGGCATGACCATCGGTCACAAATAAATACAACAGTTAAGAAATATTTACACTGCTTCCTGTCAAGCTTTTTAAAGAAATAAACACAGTAGAGCAGACAACCACCAAATCTCTATTTTAACTGCTCCCACATATTGTGCTGTTCTATAAACAGACACCTTATGTCTTTAAAAGACAATGTATTATTCTTCAACTGAAGGGCATCTGTCCCTCTCTTTAAAAATCAAGATTTGCTGTTAAAGACATACCTAGTGCAAACAGATGTCAAAATGTGGCCACAGATATTGTGGATCTTTTATGCAGTTTTGCTTTATTTCTTTAAACATATAATGCAAAGAACATGCCAATTTGCTGTTGCGAGAATGGAACTAACATTACAACTATGGAGCCCTTATTTGCACACTTCTGTAGGTACTCCTGTGGAAATGGCCAAGGAATCATTCCAGCACATCCACTTCACTTGGAGGCCAAGAAAGCAGTATTCTTTTAAATTAAGCTACTTCTGTCTAATTGCATATACTGCACAAAAACAGATTCCTTCCTTGAAAACATGTGAGCCTAGGCAGGATGATTCTTTACAAAACACAAGTCCAATAAACATTTCCATCCCTTCCAAGGACCATGAATAAATGAAGTAGTTCAAAAAGCACTCTGATCCATACTTCCTAGATTGGCATTTCAAGAATTAGTACAAGTGTCACCATCAACAGAGCGAACAACCACAGTTTTAGGATCTGTATTCTTCAATGTCCAGCAGAAAACTTGTTTTATATTATAAATATGATCTTAGGAATAGTGAATCTATAGATCCACATTTCAGTGGACAGTGGGAGATAATTCTAGAGGCATATTATTGGATCAGCACTTCTAAATATCATGTGACTGAATGATGCGGTCTTAGTTGCAAAGATCATTTTTTTTCACCATCACCCTTGATCTCAAGCAGGGCTCATTAAATAAAGTAACACTTAATAAACTGAAGGTAATACTCACACTTGGATGTCCATCACGAAGCAGCTTGTGAAATACATGGCAAAATTTCCAGCAGAGGACTGCATTGCTGGACAGCGGCAATCGATTCACTACCGACCAGAATGTGTGAGCGCCTTTCTCATGATGCGTACCAAGAATGCATGGTGCAGAAACATGCTAAGGAAACTGTTACAAAATGGAATTCATTTCACGCATATAAACAGATGTAATCAGTTCCCAGCTTTGAAATTTCATCAGTTGAATCAAATAGGTTGTTATAGATTGAATAGCGACTGTTAACAGACTGGGGCATGGCAAGGAAAGGGAATGGAAACCACCCTTTCATATATCCAAGATAAGAATCAATGTGATTATTTAAGGTCCAAAATCAAAACAGGAAATTCACAGCAACTCAATTAGCATCTGAAATAGGATGATTAAAATTGCAGATTTCAATAGTCTCCCAGTCACCACTTCATGTCCTCACCTTATTTTGCCACCGATTGACATGCTGTAGATATTCTCCATTTTCTGCTTGATTTTAGTATGGTTTTTGCACCATTTTTGAAAAAATTTCTACACATTTTAGCTGCAAAATTCCTCATAACTAATAAAAGCTCCAGGGTACAGTTTAGGAATCAATTATCCATTACTTCTGCCAAAAATGTTAATTGTTCAAAGCACAAGTAACCTTCAGAAATGACCCAAAAATTCAATTTCCCACAAGCAGTTTGAACATCAATCAGAAAGATTAAAACATCTTTGAAGATCATTTCCCTTGTCTCAAGGTTTTTTTTCCCCATGCGTAAGCCCATGCTATCAATCGGAAAGAGGACTTCAGAACCAGCCAAGGCTAGGCATTTGACTGCATGGGTGTGTAATAAATCTGAGCCCGATCCTATCATCATTCAACACATCAGAACACAAAAATTATAATTTGGTAGTTGGGTGAATTAGTGCTTTATATAAAGATGTTTTATACAAAGCCGAGAACAACAGGTTATTTCTCTAGATTTTTTTCTGAACTGAAGCTGTCTTCTGCATCAGCAAAAACCAAGAACTGCAGATGCTGGAAATCAGAGACAAAAACAGAAACAGAAACAGAATTTGCTGGGAAACCTCAGCATCTGCTGTGCTTTGTCCATTGTAAACAAGCCTGCGTTAAGGGTGGTAATCACATCTACATCGCGGAGGCTAAGCACCAGCTCTTGGCCACCTCCTCCTATCTCCCCCAGACCATGACCCTACCATTGAACACCAGGCTACCATGGCAACAACGGTCACCAAACTCCTATCATCTGGTGATCACCTCCCCACACTGCCTTCCAGCTCACAGTCCTGCTTTAACCTTCATCCCAAAAATCAACAAACAGGACTGCCTGGGAAGACCCACTGTTTCTGCCCACTCATGTCCCACAGAACATGGTCACCCTGTTATAGGAAGGATATTATTAAGCTAGAGAGGGAGAGATTTACCAGCTTGTTTATGGATTTGGAAGATTTGAGTTATAAAAAAAAAGGCTGGATGGGCTGGAACTTTTTCCACTGGAGCATAGCAGGTCGAGAGGTGACTTTATAGAGGTTTATAAAATCAAGAGGGGTATAGACAGGGAAAAGACACCTACCATTAACCCTATGATAGGGGATTTCAAGACTAAAGGACGATATTTTTAAGGTTAGAGGAGAGAGAGGGGCAGAGGTGGGAGACATGAGGGAAAGGAGAAGTGAGAGAAGGGAAGAGAAATGGGGAGAGATGGAATGTGAATACAAAATGTAACCCTTCCAATTCTGAAACTCTGACTATAATTCTAGCCATCCAGTGCAATGAAGTAGAGACTGATATTGCAGCAAACAGGAGAAATCACCCAGCCACACCTGTAACCTCTTCATACAAAAGCAGGTCACTAGTTTACTCAGTAACCTATCCTAGTACAGGGGACATACATGGTAGAAACTAGCATGAACATACAAATCTCAGATGGAGAATCAGGAAACCACAGTTCGTTCACGCCCAGGGCCCAGTCAGTGGGAAACAAACAGTACTTGAACAAGAGATTTTTGTACTCTCACCAACTCCACCCAAAAAGGATATTTCTGGCATGTTTTTCCTTCACTGCGACTTCCTGTGCATTAATAGCCTTATTGATGCTGACGCTCTGAAAAACAGTGGGGAGAGGAAAAATCAGTTTTTCTCAAAGCAACAATACAATAAAATAGTGACAAACATTTTGATATTTGCACATTTTATTTCCCTTCTCTTTGAGGCTTCACTCCCACAGGCAGCCATCAAGCACCTCAATGAAATAAGCATGCTTCAAGTCAAAGCTTGGCATAGACCCACATGGGCTAATTGGCCATAGAAGCATCACAGTTGAGATCAATTTCATCCCTAAAAAGTTTTCAAAGATAGCCTATGGCTATACTAATCTGAAAATACTCAATCTTGTCTGATCTTGGAAGCTAAGCAGGGGTCCTCTTGTGGCATGATGGTAGTGTCCCTATCCCTGAACCGGGAGACCTGGGTTCAAGTCCCAACTGCTCTAGAGGTGTGTAACAACAGGTCTGAACAGGTTTAGAAGAATAGCTTAATTTTAAGAAGTTGCAACGGCCTTCTTGAGACACAGAAATAGCATCTCTACCTCTAGACCGGGAGCTGGGGTTCAAGTCCCACCTGCTCCACCTGACCAGATGGTCTTCCTTATGAAGGGCCGTCTTGTGCCATGTTGCATCCCTACTCCAGACCAGGCCGTGTTGTGTCTTCTTGTTACGGTCTGTTGCGGAGATAACAGCCGATTGTACTTTTTAGATATCCATTCCTTTTAAAAACTCCGTATAAGTGCTCCTGTTCTGCTTTGTGCAATTCCAGATTGCTGCAGGGTGTTGTGGCCGGTTTGAATAATGTCCTGATGCAGCTAGGTTTATGGGTGTTGATGTGGTTGCTGGACTAATTAAGTATCTGGTCTATATGTGTGGTCTTTCTGTATATGCTAGTCTGGAGTTCCCCAATGTTCTTACGTTCTACCATCACGTCTAGGAAAGGTAGTCGGTTATTGTTCTTTTCTTCTTTTATGAATCTTATTCCGGTGAGGATGTTGTTTGTGTATCGGTGGACCCGATATACAAACAACTGAAAACAGAACCAAAAGTGATGCCAACCACCCCAGCAAATCAAGGCATATAAATAACAAGCGGGTCAGAATACCAACGCTTCACCAGAGGCGCACTGATGATGTTACCTAGCAGGGTGACGAAACATCTGCAACCAAACACACCGGCTCAGCAAGCAAATCTACAACCTCCGTCTTACCAATTCTAGTCAGTTATCTTCCCTTGATCATTTCAGCTCCTTCACCCAGTAAAGGAAGAAGGATTAGTAAACAGTATCTATTGCATAAGAATGAAGAGCCATTGCTGGTGACATCTCCAAATGCATCCTTCATCCAATTCTCAGCAGAAGAAAAGACAGAGCAATGCAGCATTCTAAAGACAATCATACAAGGTGATAGGAACTTTGGTTGCTGTGCACGTTCTACTGTTTCCTGTTCTCACTTAAATTGGCAGCAATATGTGTTGTGAAGATAAGGAAACAGATCCAGACAAGAATCTTCATCCAGGAGGGCTAATTAAGAGACCAAAAACAAAGTTGCTGGAAAAGGTCAGCAGGTCTGGCAGCATCTGTGAAGGAGAAAACTGAGTTCTGAGGAAGGGTCACCAGACCCAAAACGTTAACTCTGTTTTCTCCTTCACAGATGCTGCCAGACCTGCTGAGCTTTTCTAGCAACTTTGTTTTTGTTCCGGATTTACAGCATCCACAGTTTTTTTGGTTTTTAATTAAGAGATCGTGGGTCAATGACACTTGAGCTTCTGTCACTATGAGGTCTAAAGGTTGAGGACATTTCATCAGAGTTAGTGCCAACTTTGTTCTTCTATCCGCAGATATTGCCTTAGTTACCGAATATTTATAGTTTTTATTTCAGTTTTCTAGCATTTACAGAATTTTTGCTTTTGCTCTTGAGGGTAAGGGGTGGAAAACATTCTGATAAACACAGCTACCATGGTATCACTCAAATAGGACTAATGATATTGTGCAAACAGAAAACAGGCAAGAAGGTTGGAAACTACAGCCAGTGACTCTCAGAGATACACCAATATATCAAGATCACTTCAAGTACACAAATTGTCTGTGGAGGCAATGTAAAAACTAATGACTTAGATGGACACTGGAGGTAAATCTACGACAAACCCAAAAAAGGTACCCAACTCCATTCTAGATCAAAAGTCATCCAAGTTTTTTTCACAAAGAGGTTGCCTGCAAATAGCTTTGACACACAATTGAATGTATCAAATGATTAAGGATCAGTGACTCCAAGTCTTGCAGCAATGACTGTATTTGCACGGATATCCTGACCACTATATTACCAATGGACATGAAGATTTTCAACTATCACCCATAGTGTGCATCACAACATATTGCACTGCAGGGAGTTAAGCAACCTCCTTGGGAGATCTGATCCAGATGGCAATAAAAGTATGTCAGCTACAGCGAGGGTACAGCTCAAGTGCTGTGTCAGTTTTGGTTTTATTGTTACAGAGAAGTGGAATCATTGCATGGAGTCCCAAGAAGACTACAGGGTCAATTTCTCAACTTGGAGTTTTCTGGAGAGGGACAGTTAGGGGCAGGGATAAGAAGAAAAAGCACAAAAGCGTCAGCCTTCCTGCTCCTCTGATGCTGCTTGGCCTGCTGTATTCATCCAGCTCTACACCTTGTTATCTCAGATTTTCCAGCATCTGCAGTTCCTACTATCTCTGAAAGAAACTCAAGATGATTTGACAGAGACCATAAACAGGCTTAAAGATTTTGGATGCAGCAAAGCTCCTCAATCAGTCACAGAATACAAGTAGCAGGAAATAGTCTGTCAAGCAATTTATTAAGTCAGCGGGTGACATAATGATGGAACAGAAAGATAAATTAATTCTGTTCAAAAAGAGGATGAGGATACAGGCTAACAAATGCAGAATGATGGCTGTCAAGCTCTTTGAGATGACCCAAGGGCAAGAGAGGCACTCTAAGTACTTTCTTCCCTTTAAAACCAAAGAAATCAACCAGTAGAGGGGAAGGGTTAATGGCCCAATCATTCCCTGCTTGTCATGAAACAACAGCACTTACAATTATTTGGTTTACTATTCCCCAACAGCAACTACTATAATACAATACCCCGTGCCCTATGCTGGTTGACAGACAGTGATGGAGATGTAACAGATTGTTAAGGGGAGGCAGTGGCTTAATTAACTAACAGTCACTGAACTAAAAATCCAGGAACACAGGTAATGTTCTGGGGACCTGGGCTCAAATCCTATCGTGACAAATGGTGGAATTTGAATTCAATGGAAAGAAAATCTGGAATTAGATCTGGGTGACCATATAACAGTTGCCAATTTTCAGAAAAAAAACCATCTGGTTCACTAATGCCTTTTTGGGAAGGAAATCTGCCATCCTTATCTGGTCTGGTCTACATGCAACTCCACAGCCACGGCAATGTGGTTGACTCTTAACTGCCCACTGGGCATTTAGGGTTGGATGGTAAGTGCTGGCTAAGACAGCAACACTCATACCCTGTGAATGAATTAAAAAACGCTAGCTACAGGTCGATGGCTTATCCCCAAGTCCTGTACATCAGTCTTATTTGGAATGTTTGTACAATGCTGAGTGTTCAGAAATTTCCGGAAATGTGATCAAGTGATTACACTCGGCCATTTAACAAGTCCATTAACAATGCCCATTTTTAAAAGAAACATAATTTAAGCATGCAAATGCAGTTTTCTTTGAACCTTGCTTTCATGGCTCTAACCACAATGCTATACTATTCCAAAGAACAGTTACAGCAAACTTACAACATTAACTCTAGAGGAATCCCTTCACCTAGACAGTGCTGAGCCTGTGAAATTCGCAACCAGAGAAAGCAGTCACAGCAAAACCATTGTGTGATTTCAAGAAAGCGATGGGTACAGCACCTGGGGCTAAAGGGATCAAATGATAGGGGAGTGAAAAGCAAGAATATGCTATGGAGTTGGATGATCAGCCATGATTATAATGAATGGGAGAGCAGGCTCAAACGGCCTAGTCCTATTCTTATTTTCTATGTTTCTGTATTTCTATTGTAAAACTTGAGGCCTAGACACCTCAAGGAACAAACTCCCACTGTGGAGCAATTAAAATCAGGGATGTGCAAAAGGCCAGAACTAAACGAATACAGATATTACACAGGTTTACAGGGTGGAAAACAATTGACGGGGCCAGGTCACGGAGGTTTATGAAAACAAGGATGATAACTTTAATCAAAGCAAAATATTACAGGTGCTGGAAATCTGAAATAATATCAAAAGCACTGGAAAGGCTCAGCAGGTCAGACAACAACTCAATTCCAATGAAAGGTAATCAATCTGAAACATTTAACTCTGCTTCTCTGCACAGATGCCTGCCTGTCCAGAGTTTTCCTAATGATTTTTGTTCTTATACAAGAACTTTAATGTTAAAGCTTTGCATGATTAGGAGTCAACATAGGTCAGTGAGCAGGGGATACTGGATTCACTGCAAGTTAGGGTATAGGAAGTCAAGTCGCTTGTCGTACAGTGCGTCTAACTCTGGGCCAGGAGACCCAAGTTCAAGTCTTACTTGCTCCAGAGGTATGTAATAACATCTCTGAACAGGTTCATTTAAAAAAACAAAGATCTCAAGTTTGCAGATAGCACAATGCAGGATTCCAACCACATTGGGGCCTCCAATTTATGAATGTCTGCCTTATGAATGCTCATATTAATGAGCACAATCTCATAAAGGAGTGTAATTTTAAAGATCTCACATGCAAACATTTCTAGCTTAAGTATCAAGAGAACACTGTTTGTTACAGGGACTGAGACCGAAATCCTGGAACTCCCCCTAACCACACTGTATGTACACATTCACCAGATGGACTCTAGCAGTTCATCATCACCTTTCTCAAGGACAGATATGGTTGCGTAATAAATTCAGGTCTTGTTAATGATATTTAGATTCCATAAAAGAGCAGAAACAAAACAAAAAAAAAATCAGTGGCTTCATTCTCCTCATTACTAAACTGAAGGAAAACGTTTTGCTCATCCTGACCACCAGTCTGAC